ACAGCATTTTGTTACTTATCGCTTGTAAATTTAAGTACCTTCATAAATGTTATCTGTAACTATTGAGCTAATAAGACTAGCAGCTTTTACATCTTTCTGTCATAAAGAAAACTGTATTAGCTAGTGCAGTATACTATTTTAAATTGAGAATGTATAAATACAAATAAATTCATTTCATTGTTCTTTTTTTGTCTCCTAGAACTTTTAAGAATTAATTGACGAGTTCATCGATCTTCTGGCGTACAAACTAATGCAAAATAATCAAATATTAGTTTTTTTCACTCATATTACAAAACACAATGTCATATGATATCATATTTTGAGCTACTGAAACCAAAGGATTGAGTATATTATACATAGTAAATAGATCAATAATAAATTTATGCATGCTTTTTTAGATGAGATCTTTAGAATAACCGAAAATGTCAATTACATCCGGTCCACCTGATTTACCACCTGATTCTCCTGGTTCTTCAGTATCATCACGATTACAGGTTGGATACAGTAGGACTTCTTGCTATGTACTCACATATCAACATATATTACTCACTGTGTCGCTGATTTTTTTTCGTTTTTAATTTATAAAATAAGATTCTTTATTTGTTTTTTTTTCTTATTATTCAGAATGAATATGATGATTTATTACGACGAGCTGTTGTTATTACTAATCATGGTCTTACAACAAATGTAACAATGAATCAAAGTGTACTTGGACTTGGACAACGAACAAAAAATAAAAAAAGTTGGAAAATTAAAATCTATTTAAAATCTTATTTCAAACGTATACTTTTATTTTTTTTTTGTTTTAGATGTACCTGTAACTGATCTGATTGATCTGAGTAGCCCGGATACGCATCGCACTGATATGACAGGATCTGAAATTGGTAAGAAATCAAGAAGCCTTCTATCAAAGAAGAAAAACCAATAATAGATATTATTTTCAGAGTAGTTTACTTTTTATAAGTTAAATTTACGCATAATTTAGAATTAAACATTAAAAAAAACACATACTCAACATCAATTGCTTGTTTCTTTGTATCTGTGAGTTCAGAAATTAAAAGTACTTCGAACATATCAAAAGTTATGACGAAAGAATTTTTATATCTCTTATAGGGAGTTCGAGGAACATTTTGCTTTATATACACTGATAGTAAAAAAAAAACAGTATTCTATTTGTTTGTGATACGTCATTGTTCTTCATTGGATGTCATAATAATAAAATTTTGATAAGAATTAGTTGTCATAAAGTATGATGATAACATTAGATTATATCATCTTTTCTATAGATACTAGTTTTCATCTTCTTTTTCTTTGTGTTCTTTAACATATAGCTGTCTATTTATATTATGGTGTATGACAAAACTGATGGCAGTAAAACAAAAAAAGATGTAGTAACGATTTGGAATCATATTGATGTTTTTCATTTTGCCTTATTCAATTTAATAAGCAAAAATCACACAGTACCAGATCTGAAGAAGCCTTAGAGAAGACACAAAAAAAAAGAAAGAAAAGAGAAGTAAAGAAAAAGAGTAAATCATTAAAAGGATAAACAGCAAAGACAATATGATTGAATTTGATAATCACGTATCATGGCAACCAGTGGCAGAGACAGTATTACAGCACAGAGTAGATTCATGGTAAGTTGAGCCCATTCTGACTTACAGAAAGGATTATCTCAACATAGATTTCAAAATCATTCAAAATGAGCTGACAAGCGAAGTCTTTCAGATGATTAATCACTTTGGAATCTAGAATATGTGCATCATGTAGAGGATGTAGTCTCAATCAGAGAAACAATAAAAATTCATTTTCAAATTTCGATTTGAAACATTGCAGAGACAATTCTTAACGGCAAAAGTACAGTGTTTTTATCGCAATAAGCTAAGGGTACGTATTCTTTCCAGAATATTCATAGTTGATTTGAATCTACACAGTACACATAGTCTCGAACGAAAACCGATTAATCAGTTCATGGACTATCCTCATAAGCATTATACAAACGATGATAGCATATTTTTATATAGAAACTCAACGACAACAGTTATCACAAATTCCATCTCTTCAACAATTACTTAGTACAGCAACATTTTCTATAAATGAACAACAAAATACAGAAAATCAATTAACATCAAAAGAATGTAATGACCCACTTGTACATCATCTTTTTCGTTATACTGAATCAATATCAAATGAATTAGAATCAAAACCAATAACGGAAAAAATGGATCATTGGTATTTAGATCTTAAAAAAAATTTAATAGTAAAAAACAAAAGAAAAAGTTTTCTAGTCTTTAATTTAATCTAATAATCTATTATTTTGTTTTCAAAGACTGAATTTGATAAATTACGATTACAATTTATTGAAGAAGCACAACAAAATACTTTACGTGAAAAACAAGCGTAAGTCAAAATTTTTATAAGGAGGAAAAAAAAAGAAGTCTTTTGTTTTTGTTATTTAGTCAAGCTAAAGAATATATACGTTTAAATCAAGATATAAAAACTATGCGTGACATGTTAACACATTACGAACATAAAATTGATCAAAAAGATCAAGCTGAAAAAAATCTTAATAAAGCATTAGATTTATTATATAATAAAACTATTGCTTATCGTCGTTATTATGAATGGCGTATAATTCATATTGAAAGACGACGACAACAGTATGCATTGGTGCTTGCTCAACGATTCTATGAAGATAAAATGAAACGTGTATGTTAAATAATGAATAATGAATGGTTTTTTAAAGTTTTGTTATTCTCATTTTTTTCTTTTAGAAAGCCTTAATAAATTGGAAAAATGTCGTAGAACGAGAATGGAAAAAACGTTTTGAATTAGCTTGTGAAAAAAAAGCTAAAGACGTTTTGATTGAATTAGGTAATGAATATGAATTAAAATATAAACAATTAGAATTACAATTATTAAACGCAAATGAAGAAATAGCACGTTTAAGAATTGATAAAGGTGAACATGATGAAGCCTTAAAAAAGGCTTTTATGCGTGGAGTTTGTGCCTTAAATATGGAAGCAATGTCTGTTTTACTTAAAAATGAAAATGAATTAGAGACAACAACATCAACAAATGAAGAAAAACAACGACGATGTTGTAATCGTAAGGAATTTTTAATTCACTAAATTAATCATTAAATTAATTGTTGAAGAATTTATTCTTTAGTTAGGGTCTCTTTCGCTCTTAAGATCGAAACTATAATCGATTTTGGTTTCTCGTCATCTCAAACTTGTACCTCGAACAATTACTTGACATTGAGATTAAACTTCATGAATATATTGAGGTATCTCATCAAGACAACTCGAAAAAAATTTCAATTTCATTTTTTCTGATCTGTCGTAACAATAAAAGTTTGACTGTACATGTTAGAAACATTGAAAGGTCTTTCGCATTGCCAACGTCATTCGATCAATTCCAGAGATAGAGTCAGTTTGTTTTATTTGAAGTTGAGTCTTAAGACTCCCTTGACCTTTTTTCAAAACTGATCTAAATCGAAATATGAACGTTTTTTTTATCGAATCATGCATTCCTCAAAGAATTAAAAATAGGATCATGAGAGTTGCCAGCGCCAAGTGTCTTTTTTCAAATAAAAGAATTGAACCTATCAGTTGTATCAATCGATTGGCGTTGATGATGTGAAAGGCCTCGAATTGGATACTAATATTGCTATAGCTTCCACAGACAATGAAGCATGAGTCTGAAGTCTTTTTTTTGTACGTATGACTAAGTAGTGTCAATATATACACAAAGTTTCAGTTCAATATCATGCAATAGTCTGAAAATCCTATTTTTAGGAGAAAGAGCGCCTCGATGATAAATTTACACATGCAATGTGCGACATACTCTTATATTTTCTTGTTTTTTCAATAATAAACTTATTATCATCAATAGAAAAGAACTTGAAAACTTTGGTACAAAAAATGATTTGATAATATTTTTTTCTTAGCCTCAGTAATCCATTAAGAGAGTTAATCACATATAATTGTGACTTTCGGTTTTCAAAAATGATGTATGAAAGAACATTGTACATTACATGGTTCATAATATAATTGTAGGTAATGCTTCACTCTGAGTAACAGATGTCTAGAATTAAATACTATCTTGTTCAAATAATAGCTACATGTTTTTCGTCAATATATGTTTATGCATCACTAATCTATCCATATTTCAATGGTAAATCTGACTTCAAAAAAGTATTCGAAAGTTTGATCTAATATTATAATAGAATCGAGAAACTTCACGTACACTAAACATTATTTGATTAATTTGCTTTACGTGTCAAAAAGAGAATAGAATATAATCTAAAACAAATACTATCAAGTAAATTTATCTTGAAGTCTTATTATGATTACCCGAAAAATAGAATTTATAAAAGAAGAATTACAAAGTTAATTTTTTGATTAATTTCTTTTTTCTTTCAATTAAAATATTAGATCATGATAATGCTGATGAACAGTTCATTGATGAAGGTATGCCATTAACTGGCGATGAAGAAAATGGTTCAAAATCTTCATCTTGTTGTCATACATTTCCAACACATGTTTATAAAGAACATTTACCAAGTACAATCTATCGTACAGGAGAAGCACGTCCTATTCGTGTATGTATTTTAATTTTATCGAAAGATAATTCCTTTTTTTTTTTGTTGTTGCTTCTTTTAGCAAACAGGTACAAACAATAATCAACATCGTCATGTAACTTTTAATAAACGTCAATCGACTGGAACAAGTCGACCTCGATATCCAAATAATAATATATTAGTTGAACGACATGCACCAACAAATAATATTCGTTCATAGTATTTTGTTTCTTTTTTTCTTCTTCATATTCGCGCTCATTGAACAGATATATCTGTTTTTCTTCCTTTTTTATTTCTTATCATATTTACTTGAAAATTTATTCGTAGTTTAATTAAGTAGTATTCCTATTTTAAAGAAATAAAATAATTTTCTTTTTCTTTTCTTTGCTATTCAAAAATAAAATTCTTAGAATTATTATCGTCCACGACGTGATGATATTGAATATCTTTTTGCTAAACATTCTGTTGTTTGTTGTTTTCCACTGAAATAAGTGTTCAATAATATATAGATTAAAATACTTATTACAATAATATAGACGAAATAATTTTGTGAATTTATAATGTAAGAATTTAGTTCAACATTGACAGTTTGTTGTGATTCAACAGTTATACTAAATCGAAAAGAAATTAAGAATAAGAATTTCTTAACATATTTCATACTGATCAGGCTTTTCTTCCATTAGTCTTTGATCACTATTCAATATCAACGTTTGTTCAGAACTAAGACAATCTGTACATGGTGATAATGATAAAATTCGTGGATGATTATTAAAAAGAAAAAATAGTTGCTCGCCATATCGTATATGATTATCTGTTGCAAGAGGATAAATTTGCTTTTCTATAGTTGTCTAATAAAGAAAACAATTTTTATTAAAAGATGAAAAAGAAATATCTCTTAAGAAGTACTTACATTCACCAGAATAGCATAAAATATAAATTGATATTTATCATTAGATAGAAATTTTAATTCATGAGGATAGATTAATTGACCATTACAAGCTTAAATAAACAAGATTAATCAAATGAGATGATTTTAATTGCAATACATACTATATAAATTGTCGAAAAAATCTTCTAATATACATGAAAGACTTGATGGATCAGTATGATACTTCATGCGTAGAATTGGATTTATCATATTGAAGAAATCAACATCATTTAATTGTGGACGATCTGAATTATTTATAAAAATATAAAATTATGATAAAAAAAAAACATGTTTCAACTTGTCCTTATTGGAAGAAGCAAAAAAATCGGGTTTTATATGATATATAAACGTTTTTCTTTTTAGACTGTATTGGACTATGCAAAATGAAAATATACATACACTATCAAAACTATCTCATTTATAGATTGCATCGAAGCTTGTCTCTGACGAAAGGTATCTAATTTAGAGGATGACGATTATATTATAATAAGGACATTTTCTTTTTAAGTTATATCTATTTTTCGTTTGAAATAATGTATAAAAATACCAGTATGTAGATATGAGCAAGACTGTCCCAATTTGAAACCCAAAACGACCGATTCTGCTCATGTGTAACAGTATGTCGTACTATATTTGCTGTATATGTTAATCATCTGAATTCTATGGTTTCTTACAGAAATTAAGAATAATCAACTATTCATATGTTGATAATACCATGACATTTTCTACGAAATACATTCGACAGCTTGTTTTTCAACCTTGTAAAACTTCATCTATGTTAAGTATTCCTACTTGAGTTCAAGGTAATTGAGTAGGAAAAAAAGTAAACATAGCAACTGGAAAGAACACATTAAATTCTGATGAGACATGTGACAAACCCTTAAGCTACTGGGCAACATATAGTATTGTTTATTCTTTTATATTTCCTATGCTTTTTCCTACATAAATTGAATTTTAGTTTTAATAATTTTTACTAAACAATATTGAATTAAATACTATCAAAAATAGTATTCAATTCAATAGAAAAAATTTCTGAAAATAGTTTTTGTGAAAGCATTATGCATGGTGTTCTAAAAATCATAATTACATTTTAAATGCATGACACTTCAATAGTCATCAAACTCAATTAAAGAGAATTTCTTTTTATTTCAAAGAGAAGAACGATAAATTTTTATTCGTAAAGATAAAGTTGAGAAAGACTCGTTAAACACTATCATTTTTAGCCCGTAAAGTAAAACAATTGACATTTTTTTCCAATGTCATAAAGCAATATGTCACGTTTGTTCTATAGTTACTTTAGTTTATATTTTTTTCATCATATTAGACTTGATACTTCTGAATTCACTTTGTGTGAACGTATTAAAACAAATGCTAATAAAACAGTAGTGATGCATCTTAATGATTTAAAGCTTATAGAAATAATATAAACTGAAGAAAATATATACAAAACAGTATTGTCTTATGACTCTCGACCAATGCGAAAATTTTATTTTTATAGCTATACGCATTTAAAATAGAAATATAGCACTTGAAATATCCTTTACTATTTGATCTCAGCATGCATCACTATAAACTATTTAAAGGTAAAATATGTTTTTTTTTTTAAATTTTAATAGAAAAATATTCGTTATATATTAAAGTTAAAAATTGAAATCATATAAACTTTTTAAAATTCTTATGAAATAAAAACAAAATATGACCGAGAGTTATTTTTATCTTAAACATTAGAGAATTTTTTGTTGCACAAAAGATTTCTTAGAAGCAATTGTCATTTGATATAACTACAATGGAGTCATAATGATAAATTCATCTCTCTTCTGTCTATGGTTTCAGTAAATATCCTGTTAATTGTAAACGGAAATGTTCTCACATTCTTTTAGTCATTATTAAAAATATCACTCACTTTTTATTTTCATTAATTGATCTGTGTTCATAATTTCATTTGTTTCATTATTTTGAATAAATCTTCGATAATATTCAAGTTTTTTTCCAGTACTAACCCATACTGATATTGGTAGATTGATATTCCAATATGTTTCTTTTAATGATTTTGTTTTATTCATTTGATATGTATCAATATTTCCATTAGATAATTTAATGAAAAGATATTTTTCAATAGAATTTTGTTCAATAAAAACAGCAATACATTCAATTGTCGTTGTTAATGATATTTCATATATACCAATTAAATCTTGTACATAATCATTAAAAAGTGATTCATATGAAAGTAATTTTATTATATCAATATTTTGTTGATTTAATGAAATTTTTTGTGTAATATCATTATTTTTTGACAATGATATATCATTTATTCTATTTGGGTTTTCTTGTTGAACGATTGTACGTTGTTCTCGATTATGAATAATAAATGAAACTTGATCTTTAACTAATTTTATTTGACGATTTAATGATGAAATTTCATTAGTAAGCCAATTGATTCTAGTTTATAAAAATTAAAAATATTGTTTAAGATTGTAAAAATTTTTTTATAATAATCAATTAAAACACTTGAAAAAAAAACCTATGATCAATCATTGAAAGACTTATGAAAATTGAGATCAATATTGAGGAAGGTAGTCCAAGGTTTGATCTTTCCTAAATGACATGACTTTTTTATTTGCTATCTTTTTTTTTAAACTTCCGTCATTTTCTGCTTTAAACAGGTAAAGTGGAAAATTTTTTGTCGTTTTTCTCTGTTTTATGTTTTGTTTGATTGCACATGCCAGAATTCTCGAAGAAGCTTTATTGTAACCAATAAGTTTGTTTGTGTTATAAAGAACACGGTAAGAAGCAAGGTATGAGAACCTGATTTTTTAATTAAAGTCTGTTACGATTCCATTAAAGAGTACTTTTATAATCAGAATGCGATTTTTTTTTAAATATTCGACTTTTCTGCTCTTAAAAGGCAAGAGTAAAAAAAGGATTATATCATCCTCTATATCCACAACTATTCTGTCAAACAAAAAAATTAATTAGATATATAGAATGAAGATCTACAGAAAATTTTGCGTTATCACATTAGCTATTGTTAACCCTAGCTCGTTGAATATTTTGCGAAAACGCCATGCTATAGGACTGAACATTTCATACGATTTGAAGCCAGCTAGACTAAGATTGATTTTTAAGAAGATCTGAGGTTTTATCCTTAGATGTTGTTTTAGATCAAGTTGAAGAATATTAAATATTTTTCCCAAAAGTATTTGATAAGAGAAGGCATCATAGAAGCATATTATGAAAATCGAGTTGCTGAATGTGAGTATGGTTAATTGATAAGAAAATTTTGCAAAAGTTATTTTTTTGTCTAGTGTAAACTTAATATTATGACAAAAGAAAACTAACTGGAATATCTTAGCAAAGTAGTTATTTTGATATAAAAATGCACAGTAATTAGACATGTAATGCTTTTAGACAATAATTTGTAGGTTTTAAAAACAAATGAATAAATATGATCCATACTAAACTTATTACTATGCTCTAATTGCGTTATATTTAGTAGAAGAAATCGATTGATAAAACTTTTCTGATTACTTTTATGAAAATAACAGGTAACAGAAAAGTTTTACGAGTTCAATATGATTGCTTCTTTTCTATCAAGAAAATGCACTATTTGTTTTAAAATTAAAAGAAAACATTTTCTTCACATACTGTATATTGACATTTCGATGTTGTTGAAAAACAGATCGAAATTCTCCTTGATTTACATGAAAAATATTACCACCATCACGCCATACTTTCCGATTAAAAGAGCTTGTTGTAAATGTATTAGTCATAGAACATAGAATCCAAACGTAGAATAAGAAAAGTATGATTACAGTATTTGACAACATTGAAAATAATATAAATGAAGAAGATTGAATAATAAAATAAATTGTCACCCTTATTTTTTCTATTTTTTCTTCACGTCAAAATAAATCTTCTTGTTGTAGTATTGTGTTCTTGTATGTTTTTTTTTCTTCTACTTTATTCATTTCTTTTTTTTTCCTTCTATGGTGATCGTTTTTTTTCTTTCTTTCTGCTATAATTGAGTCATTTCTTTCAATATGCACGACAGGCAGGCAGGCAGGCATATATTTAATTTGAAGTTGATGTGAGAAAAAAAATTACCAGATTTTATTTTGAAAATGAAATTTGTACTTTAATTGAACGAATTCGTATGTTTGCTTTCAAGTGAGACACGAAACAAACGAGGATTAACGTAAAGAAAACGAAAGACATGTCACAATATTTGACTTGTTGTCTCGCTTATTTTTTTTCCTGTATTGAGACAACGAACAAATGTATAAAATTATCATTATATATTGTTTTTTACTCTTATTAATGATTACAAATGTTTTTGTCAATGGTTCATGCGATATATTTTTCTATAATAAAGTATAAAAAATATTCTTTTATTTTGATCAATAATTTCTTTTGTGTTTAATTTACAAGTGTCCATTACCACCAGTTACGATCAAAATAAATGTTGCTGAATTTTGTCGGGAAGCTAAAAAACATGTTGATTGTGTGAATAGACGTTTGGAAAATTGCACCGAAGTTCAAGAATATGGTCCAGCTTTAGGTAGGTTGAAGATTAATCCTTTTAGTCAAATGCAATAAGTAAATACTCAATGTTTACTTTTGAAAGGTCATAAAGAAGAAATGTCTTCCGATACTTCTGATGATGTGAAGAAAAACTCTTTCTGTTTTCAATCATGTAAGACAAGTATTGTTTTCAACTGATCAGAAAGAGAATATTTAGTGCATTGTCAATGTCGACGAAAGCAAAAAAAAGAAATTTAATTGATTGACACAGATGTAAATGTATGTGATATTCTATCTTGCACTTACGAGGGAAAGTTTCCAAGTGATTACAAGCTTTTGAGCTCATATGTTGCCCATTAGGTAGGGAACCACTAGATTAGAGAAACTTCCAAAGGATTCGTGCCCATATTGAGATTTGACAGAGATATCGAATTTTTAGTAGATTTTTCCTGCTGGACCCTAGTTCTACAGCAAAATCATATTTTCGAATTTCGATCTGAAACTTTGCCCCAATGAAGGCTTTGATTAGAGTAGCTTATATAGAAAATTTCAGAAGTTTTGGACATTGCATTTCCAAGGTATCAATTTTTGAAAATATAGGCACTTTTCTATCGATAACATGGATACTTTGAAAGATTGATACCTTGGAAATGCAATGTGCCAAAATTCTGAAATTTTTTATACAAGCTACTCTGATCGAGGCCTTCATGTGGGCAAAGTTTCAGATCGCAATTCGAAAATATGATTTTGCTGTAGAACTAGGGTCCAGCAGGAAAAATCTACTAAAAATTCGATATCTCTGTCAAATCTCAATATGGGCACGAATCCTTTGAAGGTTTCTCTAATCTAGTGGTCCCCTACCTAATGAGTAACATATGAGCTCAAAAGCTTTTAATCACTTGGGAACGTTCCCTCGTTAGTTTTAAATATAAAAAGTTAAGGTGACTTTGTATGTGAAAGAAAAATGATTCAGTTTCGCTGTACTCTACAGTTATAAGAAAATCTTTGTAAAAAATAAACAGATGAATGAACCAGATTGAATCCTGTGCGATTGCACCACTTGACAAAACTTCATAGAAATCCGAGTTATTAAATTACCGAAGGATCCAACGATTATATTTGATCAGATTTCAAATCTGCTGGTCTAGATATGATTTCTTCATCCGTTTCCGGCAATATTCATACAGGATTCAACCAGATTTTATTGGGTCCTGATCGAATTATTGGATTCATTCTCTTAGGAACAAATACATAGGAAAGATTTTTTCCTTTTTCGACGCGCATCAATGTATTCTTATAATTCCAATTTCATATTTTTCTTGTCGGGTAAAGGTATTCATTGAGCTAAACTTGACAAAGAATAAAAACACAAGTGGAAGTATTCTGGATATTCAGTTTCATGTTTGATTTCATCGAGTTTCAATTTGATATATGTGCTTTTGTTTGCAGTCGTAGTTCTACAGACGCAAGCTTCTTGAACTTGAACATTTAAAAATCATTTGACTAATAACTTTTATCCAGATTATTTTTTAATCATTAACATTAGCATTTCTTCATTCATACATGAATCAAATCGAAAAAAAAACGAATCAGATGCCGAACTCTACGCACTTCTACATTTCATTATAATCCAAAACAAAGTCTACGATTTTTTTATATTATCATTACATCTTTTTTTTTCTTTTCTAGAAACTTTAAAATTAACATTTAAAGTTTATTTAACTCAAGCAACATCACATGGTTGTCATGATCTTTATGATCGAATACGAATACCACGACGGCTTCCACGTACACGACATACAACAACAAGAAAACCTCGTAGACGTAAACAAAAAAAACGCCGAACAACGATCGCTGTTGAATATCATTGTCGAAAAAATGTTGTTGTCAAATCTTGTGGATATTGGAATCAATCATTATTAATACTTAATCGAACAATATGTCATCATGCTTTTCAGTATATTCAATGTTTAATACCATTGAAAATAAAATGTCAAAATATGTTATCGAATGATGAACAAATTTTACAAATTCAAACATTTTTACAAAAATGTTATAAAAAATTTATTAAATCTTCAAAAAATCATATCGATTGTTTAAATTCAAATATTATTTTTGTTTTTATTAGTTTAGTAACTTATGTTATTTTCAAACAAGAATTAAATCAAGTTGTAGAAAGTTTTTTTCGTTTTATTTTCTTTTGACATCGTCCTTAAATAAACAGCATAATATGATATTCATATATGTAATAAATTTTTTTTTAATGCAAAAATTAAATTAATTCTATTCATAATAAATACTAAGAATATCTTTATTTAATTAATAGATTAAAATGTGATTAACAAATGATAGAAAATAGTAAGTAATAAAAGAAAAAGAAGTTAGCGCAAGTGATTTGCAAATACAATTCATTTAAAAAAATGAATTGACTTTAATTAGTCAGAACTAATTAGAAAGATCATGACTTATATAAATAATGTATATTTATATAAGAGAAACATGTTGACAAACTATCATATTGTTATATAGTCTTCAATTCCTAACTATTTATGGTTTATATCATGCTGCAATTAATCCTGTTTTTTTTCTATTGATTTAGTTTTATTTGCAGAAGTATCACGAAGAAGTAATGGCCACATCCCTAGTGTATGGAAAATCACTATTAATTAAGAAAACAAATATAAGAACATATCTTACCTAATATACATCCTATTGAAACAAGAAAAACAAATAAAAGAATAAAACGAAATGATAATTAATACTTACCGCAAAAAATACAGATGACTTTCGCCTAAAGTTTCATAAAATGAGTCAGAGATAATAATTAATATGCACAGAACGTTTTCATTCATCTTACCAACAATTGTGTCACATGCACGCTTTGTAATTCCCATTGAGCTTTAGTCAATTTCGGTAAATCAATTCCGAATAAAGCTAAAAATCGTCCACATGTTCGTTCGATACGATCTGCAAGACTACATATAATAGAATCTTCTATCATCCAAATGTACAGATCACGTTTAACAAAAATTATCTTACCCAATACCCATAACATCACTCACAGCATTTCCAAAACCAGCAGCTTTAAAAAAGTATTTAAAAGTTTTTTTTTCTTAAGTTCATATATTTGGTTACCTGCCATTGTAGAAAGACAAAAAGCAGCACCAAAAAATGTTTCAATAGTTTCTCCCTGAATAGAACTAAAGATTTTATAAACTAAATGAAGAAATGAGCTCAAGCTACCGCAACCAGCATAACAAAATTATCGACAAAACCAAAACCAATATACGGAAGACCAGTTTCAAGAAAGACTATAAGATTTTTTTTCTAAGAAGTTTCAAAAATAAATCATAGATCATTTTCTTTTACCAACAGCAAGTTGTGAAGGGGGTATTGTAATTGGAGTAGTCGTTGTTGTTGATAATTTTTCCACATAAATTAATTCATCATGAAGAATCCTTAACTGTTCTTAAATTAGAAAAAAAGAGTTTTTGAATAATTTCTATTATTGAAAAATTTCACCTGGTTCAAGTGAAAATAGAAAACTTCGTGCTAATAAATGCATATGTTGATTTGATTCAATTTTTGAATCATGAGTATCAGTATGTGTTTGAGTGATGGTTGTTTTCGATGCATCATATTTAATACGACGTTTTAAAAATAGAAATCGAGCAATTTTAAGTGAAAAATGTGAAGTTGATCGATGAGATGATGCATTATTTGACACTGGTTTTGTTGAAAAAGTTGAACATGAAAAAATTCGTTGAAAAAATACTGTCCGGGGAAGCCAACAATTATGAAAAGATAACCGAGAAGACATTTTGATGACTGTGGTTATAAGTATTCTTTGATGCTAATGTTTACGTAATTCGATATATTTCTTGTCATAGAATTTAAGAATCAATGTCACAGAAATGGCATATTGATAAATAGTACCCAGTCAAAAAAATAATTATCAAAGATGGCAGTAGTACACGATTGAAACGATCAATGTTTTTGGCAGAACAGAACATATATGCATCTGATATCAGAAATGGTTTATTACTTAGGAACTATTTCAAATGAGTAAATGAAAAAATATATGATAAAAGATATTTTGAAAAGCTGTTATGGCAGAAGATTTAAGAGAATTTTCTTTTCGAATGTAGCTCAAATTTAAAAGCTGTGTTCAATTTTTCGTTGAATTCATTTCTATGGAAAAAACAGTAGATTCCATGGCGAGCAGTTCATGTTCCTTTTTTCAAAACGA